GAATTAAAAAAAAAAAAAACAAAAAAAAAACCCAGATGATCAAGGCATCGGATCTGTAATGACCCTAAAGTTAGTGTGGTGCTCCAAGCAGAGTCTACATCATGGACTGAACCAGATCTGGCAGAATCTGCTTGGAAGTGTTTTCCTGGACCACACACACCTAATGGAGATAATGCCTCTGCTGAGTCAGGGGACAGAGAATTTTGGTTGGACTACAGTTTGTAAAAAAAACTAATTTTATTATTAAGACAGAACTTTTTGTCCTTTCAAATTGTAAATCTGTCTATAAATGTAACGCATGTGGTTGTGAAAGAAATTGTGTAATAGGAAAAGTTGTACCAGCATCTTCATATAATTGAGAAATTTTTTTCCAGCAGGGGCACTTAGAAAAAGCACATGGCAGATGACTCTTTGTTCCTTTGAGATCATATTTCAATAGAACCTGGCATTCTACTTTCACCTTAAAAGAGCCATCTAATGTTAAGTCTCTGGAAATGTTTTGTATAAATTATCCACAGCAAAACATAAAAATAAGCTTTTAATAATTTAGTTCCTATTGTGCCCAATAAAATCAAATCTTTTAGGAGCAAGCCGCAAGAAAAGATAAGAATGTTTTAGAGTGAACTAAATACAGACATTGTTTGTTTGTTTTGAAGAGGGTTTTGGTTTTGGTTATTGTGTCTTTTAAGTTTTCTGATATGCTCCCTTTCAGTATGTAGATATTTATTTGTTTGGAAGAATACCTTAAAATGAGGGTTCTAATTCCAGACTCTGGGTCTGTGAGTAGCATTTTCCTGGATGAAAAGGGAGCAGCAAGCCCACTTGTGACTAAATGAATTGTGTGAAATTTGCTCACTTGGACTCCAGCAGCAGTGTGCTACTCCGAAATTGCCAGGCCAAAGGGTCTTCGGATTCTTCCTTTTATCACCTCTGCTCTAAGCAAATTTTGTTAGAAGGGCATGCCTTTGCTTAGGCAGATTGGGAATACCAATTCACTACAGAATAAAGATTTTAAAAATGCAATAAGGTGGTAAATGCATTGTATGAAGAATTTCTCAGTGTGTAGTCTGAGAATGTTTGCATGTTGATTTGTGGCCATTCTTATTTAAAATTAAAACTATAATCTTAGGTAGAAAAATTTTTATAAGGAGTATTATTTGACCACTTCAGGTATACATTCAATACTGGGTAAAAATTTCAGACCTATCTCAGGAACACAGAAATACTTGGTGTCCTGATAAGCACTTTCTAGACAATTGATGTGGCCAGGAATTTGGAAAGAAGACCTACTCAAACGTCTATTTTTTTTTCTTCCCTGTGATGAAAAGGCTGCGAAAACCTTAAAGTATTTGCTCGCTTCCTGTTTTGTTTAGTTGATAATGAAATGTGTACAGCCTCAAATTTGCTGCCAGAATGATACTAAAAATAGAAAAATACCCACGAAACTGTCATGTCTTTAGTTCTTCTCCCCTCTGAAAACTCAGTAAAGAGGTGTTCCCAGGATGAAAAGATCATTTTTGCTGCATGCTAAATCTTGCAGGAAAAAATTATTTTTGTAGTATGATTCCATATAAATGAATTTTTGATATAATGTAAATGTTACCGTTTCAAGTGGTTAATGTTTTCTTAAAAATTGACTATGGTTTGCTTTCATTTTGGTCAATAATTAGTTAATCAAGTTTTTAGAAAATGTTAGCACTCTGATTACTTAGCATCTGTAGTAACTTTATGTATAGGGATAATTGTTTAGTGGGCAGAGATCCTGTTCTAGTTGCCTGTTAAGCAAAATCTGCCCTCCCAATTGAAGAAGCCAAAGAGAATTGTTAGAGGGAAAAGCATGTAGCCACTGCAGTCTACACTGCAGCCAGCGTTGTCCAGAGAGCACACGCTCAGTACATAGCTTCTACCGTGTGTTGTGGTGAGTGGTGTTTCCCCTGAGCGCTCTATTTATTTATTTATTTATTATCCGTAATCCCAACTTCATAGTGTGATAGGTGCATCTTTCTTCCCTGTGGGAAAGAATTATAGATGGTTCCATTTCCGAGGCTACAGACAGGAATGGGACTTTAAATGGTTTTCATAGATTGGCTGTTAAAGGCCAAAATTTTTGGTAAATCAATGCTATATTATGCTCTTAAACTATTAAGGAGCCATAATTATTGTCCCAAGATACAATATAGTCCTTTTCAAAAATTATACGTGGCTAGGTGACAGACATAAACGTCTTGATTGACTGGATAGTAATACCTTAACTCTATGAACTTTGTGGTTTTTCTAGAGCATACACAGCGTGGCATTTTGTTTTGACCTGTTCTTCCTTGGAGTCAAATTTATAAAAAAAAAAAAATATATATATATACACACACACATATTTTTTTTTTGTTTGTTTGGGCAACCAAGATCTAATTAAACAAAACCCAGGTTGACCGTGGATTCAGACCTGCCTTTTTGTTCTTGATTCTCAGGTTCATCGTGTCCCAGACTTCTTCACATATGCGAAGGTAAGATATTCTGCGTGCTTGGGCCCTCCTTTTCATGCATATTTCACTGCCTCTTTGATGAGTAGTTATGAAGACATTAAACTACCTTTTTGTTCCCTGGGGCCAACAGGTTAACTATGAGTGCCATCTCTCTCCATGTGAGGTTGTTTTAATGTACGTTTTTATGGTAGAGTTGGGATGGGGCCACCACATAAAAATGAGGAGACACGGCCAGGCAGGTTGAAGGCTTTAAGACACCATGGGTTTTTTTTTGGGGG